GGCGTAGTTTGATTATGTTTTAGTGGGGGTTTTGTATGGGGTGTTTTTAGAACAGGCCTGTTATTTAATTTGATTTTAGAACAGAAACTATTTATTTATTATTGTGGTTTTTAGTATCGCCTGTTCACCGCCCTGAGTCCCGTAAGGGAGATAGGGCGGTATATAAATTTAATAAATAAAATAAATAAATAAATAAATAAAATAAAAATAAAAATAAAGAATTTGCCTTTGGAACAGAGATGCCCATTGAGGTCGATCCAAACTGTTGGGGAAACTTTTGATACTGGGATAAGAGAGAAGCCCAATGGGCCAAAACAAACTGGCGATCAGGGGCCTCATCTGCCGTGGCCCCCCAATTTGGCTGACTTCAATCAGTCTTAAAGCTGGCATAGAGCTAGTTTGGTCTAGTGCAGGGGTCCCCAACCCCTGCACTCCGTGGACCGGTACCGGGCCACGGCATGCCAGCCACCGGTCCACACAACAAGCAAAGCCCCATCCACGAGATGCAGGCAGCACACAAAACCACGCCCCCTCCGGTCCGTGGAAAATCCTCTTTCCACGGAACCGGTCCCTGGTGCCCAAAAGGTTGGGGACCTCTGGTCTAGTGGTTAAGGCACCAGGCCAGAAACCAGGAGACGGTGAGTTATAGTCCCACCTCCCGTGCGAAAGCCGACTGGTTGATTCTGGACCAGTCACTCACAGCTCAACTCACCTCCTAAGCTTTGGCTGTGGGGAAAATAAGAATTAATAAAAGCCCGAACATAAGGATATATAGGCAGTCCTTGACTTACAACCACTTGTTTAGTGACAGAGTTACAGAGGCACTGCTAGAACCATCGGAGCATCCTCAGGGTGACGTGATCAAAACTTGGGCCCTTGGAAACCGGCATGTATTTAACGAGGATTGCAGCATCCCGAGTTGTGCGATCGTCATTTGCAACTTTCCCAGCCAGCTTCCCACAAGCAAAGTCAATGGGGGTGGGGGATGGGGGGGACTTGGATTTACATAATGACCTCAAGGTTCAATTAACAACTGCAGGGATTTGCTTAACCATCCTGGCACAGAAGATGGAAAAAATCCGACGCGACACGACCAAACGACCACCCTGCTTAACGACAAAAATTCTGGTTGTAATTCTGTTTTAAGTTTTAAGAAGGAGACAAACCAAGCCCACCAGATTCTCCTCACCCACCTCTGTAACGCAGATCAACCCTTTCTCGGCCTTCAGCCTCACCAAGAAATCCAGGAAGGTCCTTGGACCCTCAATAGATCACCCTTTCCCGGTCTAATCCCCACTTGTCCCATCCCCACTTCCCACCAGGGCCCGGAAGCTGCTGATGAAGAGTCTGGTAGGAAAAAAACGGTACTCTCAGTC